ACTGCAACTGCAACTGCAACTGCAACCGCAACTGCAACTGCAACAGCAACAGCAACAGCAACAGCAACAGCAACAGCAACAGCAACAGCAACAGCAACACCACCACCAAGAGCAGCAACAGATACAGCCGCAACAGCAACAGCAACAGCAAGATTAACAGCAGCAACAGCAACAGCAATACCACCACCACCACCAACGACAACAACAGCACCAACAACATCACCACCACCACCAACAACAACAGCAGCAGCAAGCACAACAGTAGCAGCAAACATCAATAATGGCACAACAGCGGCCGCGACGAGGACTTCGACGATGACGACAACGACCACGACGACCACACGACATTTACGACTATGATAACCGCAACACCACCAACAACAGCAACAGCAACAACACACGACAACAACAACAACAACAACAACAACAACAACAACATTCCATTCACACACAGCGGGAGACGATGTTCTGGGGTGAGAAAGCTTCCTCGCTTTGCGAGTACAACAACAACAACAACAACAACAACCTTCCATTCACACACAGCGGGAGACGATGTTCTGGGGTGAGAAAGCTTCCTCGCTTTGCGAGTACAACATCAACAACAAGAACAACAACAGCAACAACAACAACAACAACAAAAGCTGCAGCCCCGTCAACCCATATATCTGCCTTTTTGTCTGTACATTGCACTGAAGGTAGAGACAAAAACAGGAGCCCCTTCATGTTGTTTTACCCCCAACAACAACACAGTGGCTATGGCGTAGCAGAGTATTTCCACGGGTTTATCAGATTCCAGACATTTTCAAGAAAACTTTCAAGGATTTTCAGGGGATGCCCCAGGACTTTCAAAGGATTTTGCAAGGATGTTCAAAGGATTCCCAGTGTATCAGGGGGGGGTACGGTAGGTGTCCAGGGTTCAGGTCTGGGCTGCAGCGCCGAAAGCTCACGCTTTCCAAAGCATTGATTCTAAATGCTCTTCCAAATACCACAGAAACCCTCTAAAACTTCCCACCAGAACCCATCAAAATCATCACATACAATCCTCCCACATCCTTGTTGAAAATTCCAGACGAACCCCATTAAGACCCTTAAACCCCATAAAACCATGCAGAATCCCATGACAACATTACTGGTAAAATCTAAATCCCTTACAAAACCCATGAAACCCCTTCACTTCGCAGATTCCCATACCCGGGGTGGAAACGTGGTGTAGTGTGGGCGGTTGTTGTAAAGGGGGGGGGGTCAAAACAACAGACGGGGCTCCACTTTTTGTCTCTACCAGCAGGTAGAGATAAACTCCTGATTTCAATGCGGCCTTTGCCTGTACCTGCTGCTACAGACAAAAACTGGAGCCGCGGCTGTTGTTTTGACCCCCCCGTCTACAACTACGCCGCATTTCCATCATGGGGCAGATGCTGTGTAAACCATGCCTAGCACTCCCCAAATCTCTACAGGCACCCTTTGCAGTCGCCGGAGGCATTCCCAAATGTTTCAAATTAACATAAAGATAAGAATGTAAAAAAGCGATGGCGACTATCTGCAACACTTGTCTGCGACTTCAGCAGTGGCGGCGGTGGCATTGGCAACAGTACACTAACCATTCTACCCCGAATACCAGCAACTGTACCACATGTTTATTTTTAGGAGAAGAGCAATCATCACCGCTCATTCTACCAGCAACTGCACCACCAGGACCGTCAGCATGACCGTCTTCACAGTCGCAACACCAGTATCGAAGGTCCACATGTTCTTGAGAACATGATTGCCGCGTCGGTTACCACCGGTGCTTGACACCTGTAGTATTTTTCAAAGTATTCACTCGAAAAGGTGGGGTCTTGTGGAGCCTGTTGGAATTTTCCTCCTGTGCCCAAACGTTCTTACTGCAATGCCTTTTGATGTCGGGACTTGCCACGTCTGGTGAGGGGCTGGCTAGACGCCATTCCGCAAGATCATCATACAAGATTCCATGGTCTTGGTCCGGTAGATGCCATTAGATGCCGAGGTGGCGCCCGCGGGGTTGGAATCATCCTGGTTTCTGCCGTGGAGGAGGTCGACTCGCCAGAGCGCCCGTTCAAGGAAAGGTGCCGGCCACAGCGCCCGGAGGATTTGCGCCTCGGCCGGACGGGAGAGAGAGTCGCACATCAGGGAAAGTTGCAGTCTCAGTGTTATGAAGTCATGTCTCTGAAGCACACACACACACACGGCGAAGTATGTGTCTAAATATGACACCTGGCGATTCCGGACCTCGTCACATCAGTTGGTTTCACGCCTTCCTACAAAGCCCAACAACTTGCGTGGGTCTTCCGCCTGAGAGGCTGCGGACGCCTGCCATACCCGGGAGAGAGAAAGTTAGAGAATTTCAAAGAGCAGGGGGTGCCGCGGGCACTGGCAACCTTCGGTCTCCGATGCCCTGTGATGTCCTTCATGAAGAGTGGCATGCTGAGAGACGGAAGATATGTAGATCAGTGTGCCGTGAGTTTCAGATGGCTTTGAGACGACAAGTGCCTGAGACCCGACTTGGTGTGCTGATTTCGGCTATTGTATAGAGTTAATGCACGACACAGGTTGTACTAGCTGTCTGCGACTGTGCTCTTGACTGTACCCTGCAATGCGGGCTCGTACTAGCTAGGTGGGAGGCAAAAAATGCCTTGAAAGCATAAGATGCCTCCGAAAGCTAGAGTTGCTCATGGTTTCAACCTTGGCTTGATGTAAGGCATGCGTCGCCACTGGAAGAGCGCTGCTTGGACAAGCATCCTGTGCGTGTGTTTCAAGAAGGTGGCCTGATGCTGAGGCTACTTCGCACCCACTGGCATTATTCAGGACCGCTTGTGATGGCAATCCCATCGGCAACATGGCCATCACTGACAAGTCACCCGAGACTCCCCGTGCAAACCTGGGCACTGCGAGGAGTATGTTCAAGACCTACAGCTCCTGAAAGGACACAAGTCGCTTGAATTATGTTGTTTCGCCGTAGTCGAGTAGAAGAGCGAAATCTTGCGGCCATGATGCAGCAGATCGGTCTTGTTTAGGCTTAGGATATTCAAGCCGAGGTTTGCCGTCCGAGCTTACTTGCAACCCGGCTTTGTGATCCAGTGCATCTGCTGTCGTTCTTCTCGCTTACTACACTCGATCTCATCGTATTCTCGCTTAGCGGAGAAATGGCGAAGGCCTTTGGAAAGCGACCCTCAACTTCCCTGAGCCTGTTGATGGCCAGCAGTCTAAGGGCTTTAGGAGGGACCCTTAATAGGGACCCTTGGGGTATAAATATAAGGACTATACAATGGTTATTTAAGGTAATGGGATTAAGGGTCCCTATTAGGGGTCCCTCCTAAAGTCCTTAGAATCAGGGTCTCGAGGTGGAATGTCAGACGGCCATGTGCAAATGCTAGGATGTCTTATGGTTTCTCGACATATGCCGTCTTCCGCTTGGCTTCAGTAGGTCGTGCCCCGGATTGTGTTGATGTGCCGGGAGTGTGCCGTGCTTCGAGGCTCATTGCACGGGTGCAGCCCTTGTTGGTCCTACTACACGGTGCTGCCTATGCCAAAGTTTGCGGCCAGGACTGGCAGAACCAATGCTGTGCTGTCAGATTCAAGCATGTGTCCATGCATGCATGTTTGCGGACATGGTTTCCAGACTGCGACATGTTGGGAATGGCTACGACGCATTAGCCAGCTCTTACACCGGCATGCATTTGCGCCATGATGCCTCAGCCTTTACTGGCAGCCATTTTGGCTGAAAATCTAGCTGATGTGTTTTTGAACCTGACTGCCGCTTTGACCAATGGCGGCAGTGGAAGCGCCAAAGTATCATGGCTTTGATGCCACACCTCAAGCTCAAGGATTGTACGATCCGCGCAACGAGAAGGACAGCTGTGGTGTCGGAATGGTGGCAGACATCACAGGGAAACCATCTCGGGCCATTGTCGATGGAGCACTCCAGGTTTTGGAGAATTTGGATCACAGAGGTGCTCGGGGTTGCGAAAAGGACACTGGCGATGGTGCTGGAATCTTGTGTGGCATTCCTGACCAGTTCATGCGTCGCGTTGCAGCAGAATTGTCAGTGACCTTGCCACCTCCCCGTGAATATGCGGTGGGAAACGTTTTTCTTGACCGGAGCGAAGATGGCACTCAGGAAGGCAAGCGGATCTTCGAGCAAGTCTGCGCATCCATTGAAGGTCTCCGCATGATCGCGTGGCGCAGTGTGCCGGTTGAATCCGATTGCCTGGGCAAAACTGCCAGAGATCATGAGCCCGCCATCGAGCAAGCGTTTATCGCCGCAGAAGGTGCTTTGAAGAAAGACTTGGCGAAGTTCGAGGCCGCTCTTTTCGTTCTGCGCAAGCGTGCGGCTAACATCGCTGCTCAACATGCAGACCTTCCGTTCTACGTGTGTTCGCTCTCTCCGAGAATCATCAACTACAAGGGCATGCTGACATGTCCAGGTCTGGTCAGGTACTTCTTGGACCTGCAGGAGGACGACTTCGAGTCTCATGTGGCCTTGGTTCACAGCCGTTTCTCCACCAACACCTTTCCCGCATGGCGACGTGCACATCCATTCCGTCACATTTGCCACAATGGTGAAATTAACACGCTCAAGGGAAATGTGAACTTTGCCCGTGCGCGTGAAGGGTTGATGAAGTCCGAGCTTCTGGGGCCTGAGCTGGAGCAGTGCTTTCCTCTGATGGAGCTGGACCAAACAGACAGCGGAATCTTCGACAACTTCCTGGAAGTGCTAACAATTTCAGGAAGGACACTGCCAGAAGCCGTTGCCATGATGATGCCGCCTGCATGGGAGAACTCCGACTCCATGGAGCCCAAGCTTCGGGACTACTACAAATACCAAGCAGCGATCATGGAACCCTGGGATGGCCCCGCACTCGTTTGCTTCACCGATGGTGACGGTGTCGGCGCCTCGCTTGACAGAAATGGTCTCAGGCCATGCCGCTACTACGTGACGAAAGACAACAAGCTCATTGTCTCTTCGGAATGTGGGGTGCTGAAGATGCCCGCGGACAGCATCGTCGCAAAGGGGCGCTTGTCACCAGGTAAGATGCTGTGGGCAGACTTCAGCAAACATACCTTGACTCAGGACGGCGAGCTGAAGGCGAAGTTTGCATCCGTCTCGCCCTGGGGCGACTGGTTGAAGAGCGAAGGGATGACTATGGAGACCTTGTTGAATGCAGGCTCTCCCAAGGTTCCATCAATTTCGGATGATCGGCGAGCACCACTCCTACGTGCTTTTGGCTACACACAGGAATCCTTAGAATTGCTGCTCCTGCCGATGGGCAAGGATGGTGAAGAAGCCTTGGGGAGCATGGGCAACGACACCCCACTGGCCTGCCTCTCTGAGCAGAACCGCCCAGTCTTCGACTTCTTCTACCAGCTCTTTGCGCAGGTCACGAACCCTCCGATCGATCCCATTCGTGAGTCGGTGGTCATGTCACTGGGATGCTGGATTGGTCCTGAAACCAATGTGCTGGGCTCGCCGAGCCCTCAGCACTGCCAACGCTTGTGGTTGGACAAGCCTTGCCTGCTTCCGGCTGAAATGGCTGCCTTGGCTCACACGACCGACATCAAGGGTTGGAAGATCAAGTCCTGCGATACCACTTTGCCAGTCAGCGAAGGTGCCACCGGCATGGAGCGCCACCTGACGAGAGTGTGCAAGGAGGCAACCACAGCGGCAAAGGAAGGCTTTCAGATCATCATCCTCTCCGACAGGTCATCCTCTGAAAAGTGTGCACCAATGCCATCGCTCCTCGTCAGTGGCGCCGTGCATCAGGCACTCGTTTCGGAGAAGCTCCGCACGAAGGTTGCGCTAGTGCTCGAGAGCGGAGAGCCGTTTGAAGTTGCACATCATGCGCTGTTGCTGACTTTTGGTTGTGATGCAGTCTTCCCGTACATGGCCTACGAAGCCTTGCAACTTCTGGGGGACGAGGGCAAATTCGGAGAGAGCTGGTCCAAAGAAGAGAAGTTCGCAAAGTATCAGAAGGCAGTGGGAAAGGGCCTGCTGAAAATCATGGCCAAGATGGGCATCTCCACGCTGCGCAGCTACAAGGGGGCTCAGATCGCAGATGCCATCGGCTTGAGCAAAGAGGTGGCAGAGATGTGCTTCACCGGCATTGCAAGTCAGCTGGGCGGATTGGGCTTTGAGCAGATTGCTCTGCGAACGCTCTCGGTGCATGATCGCGGCTTTTCCCCGGATGGTGGCTACACCGTGAAGAGCTTGTTCTCGAGCTTGCCGAATGAAGGCAAGTACCACTACCGCCAAGGAGCAGATGCAGAGAAGCACCTCAACGATCCAATGGTCATCGCCAAGCTCCAGGAGGCTGCCAGAACCAACTCTCGTGCAGCCTACGCATCCTTCGCGACTCTTCACAACAACCTGGTCAAGGCTTCGTCGATTCGTGGCCAGTTGGACTTCAAACCACCCCGGCAATACGGCCGAGCACCGCTTCCCTTGGAAGCAGTGGAGGCAGCCAGCGAGATTGTGAAGCGCTTCCGCACTGGTGCCATGTCTTATGGATCGATCTCCATGGAGGCCCACAGCACGCTTGCGATTGCGCTGAACCGGCTTGGCGGATTCTCCAACACTGGTGAGGGCGGCGAAGACCCTGCCAGGTACGAACCGCTGCCGAATGGTGATTCCTTGAAGTCAGCCATCAAACAGGTGGCATCGGGCCGTTTCGGTGTTACGATGGAATACCTGTCCAACGCGCAGGAGCTACAGATCAAGATGGCTCAAGGTGCAAAGCCAGGTGAGGGAGGAGAGCTCCCAGGAAAGAAGGTGCACGGAGGCATCGCGAAAACACGAAACTCCACACCTGGTGTTGGCCTTATCTCGCCTCCGCCCCATCACGATATTTACTCCATCGAGGACCTTGCCCAGCTGATCTTTGACCTGAAGAATTCCAACCCAGACGCTGGCGTCAGCGTGAAGCTGGTCAGCGAAATTGGAGTCGGCGTCGTGGCTACTGGTGTGGCGAAGTGCAAGGCCGACCACATCCTGATCTCTGGCTGTGACGGTGGCACTGGGGCATCGAAGTGGACGGGCATCAAGCATGCAGGTGCCCCTTGGGAAATTGGCTTAGCAGAGACTCACCAGACCTTGGTGTTGAACGGCCTGCGTGGCCGCGTCACTTTGGAGACGGATGGACAGCTCCGCACCGGTCGGGATGTGGTCATCGCGGCCCTTCTCGGAGCGGAGCGCTTCGGCTTTGCCACTGCACCCCTCATTGCGATGGGTTGTATCATGATGCGCAAGTGCCACCTGAACACATGCCCAGTTGGCATTGCGACGCAAGATCCTGTCTTGCGAAAGAAGTTTGAGGGGTTGCCAGAGCATGTGGTTAACTACCTCATGCTCGTGGCCGAGGAGGTGCGAGTGCTGATGGCAAAGATGGGCTTCCGAAACATGGACGAGCTTATTGGCCATGCCGAGGTCTTGCGCACGGATCCCGCAGTCCGCACTGGTCCCCTTCTACTCGATCCCATCCTGGCTGCCGCGCACCAGCTCCCGGATGCAGGCAAGATGGGCAACATCGAGAATCGCAAGCTCTACGGCCAGGAGCATTTCATGGTTCTGCAGAGAATGATCGACCGAACACTGGTGGAGGACTGCAAGATGACCTTCCGGTATGGAGAGCGTTCCTACGTCCAGTACAACCATTTGAACAATGCTGACCGGACGTGTGGAACCTTGTTGTCCCATGAGGTCTTCAAACGGTGGGGCAGCAGCCTTCCTCCTGGAACGTGCCACATGAAGCTCTTCGGCACTTCGGGCCAGTCCTTCGGCGCCTTTTCTGTGAAGGGTGTGCTTCTCGAGCTGGAGGGTGACTCACAAGACTACTTCGGCAAGGGCTTGAGCGGAGGCGCTCTCGTCGTGTACCCGCCCAAGAAGGCCACCGAGCAAGGCTTCGAGGCTGCGAAGAACATCATCATCGGAAACACAGCCCTCTATGGAGCAACATCCGGTGTGTGTTTTGTCAATGGCATCGCAGCAGAGCGGTTTGCAGTGCGCAACTCAGGCGTTTGGGCTGTCGTGGAGGGTGCGGGTGATCACTGCTGCGAGTACATGACAGGTGGACGCGTCCTTGTTCTTGGACCGGTTGGGGACAACTTCGGTGCAGGCATGAGCGGCGGGATCACATGGATCTGGGACCCTTCCAACACCTTCGAGAGTCGCACTTTGCCAGCAGACCTTGAGATCGGGCGCCTTGCGCCAGAATCCAACCCCCAGGCCTATCCAAACGAGGAGAAGGACTTGAAGTCACTCCTCAATGCTCATAAGAGCTGGACCAACAGCAAACAGGCTGACGAGATTCTGAAGCGCTGGCCTGCCTGCATGCCGGAGTTTGTACGCGTGTTCCCCAAGGACTTTAAGGCAGCAGTCCAGGCAGCGATTGACCGGGGCGAGCACACTCCGATCGGCTCCATGCGGGAGTATCTGCCCATTCAAGAGGCGCTGAATGATTCCACCAACAAGCAGCGCATTCGCAAACAGCCCAAGCTCAGGAAAATCTCCTCCCAGGATGAAACAGGTCCATTGATGAGCGTGGACATTGAGGATGTAGCCTTGTTTCAGAAGACGACAAAAGGAAATCGTCCGCAGAAGATCGAGGATGCCAAGTTGCTGGCCACTTCCAACCGAGGCTTTCTCGAGGTGGACCGGGGCGACTTACCCAAAAGAGGAGTTGAGGAGCGGGTCGCAGATTTCAAAGAGATCTTAGCGAAGAAGGACGAGGTAGCCGTTCAGACCCAGGCTTCCCGTTGCATGGACTGTGGCACACCCTTCTGCCATCAGTCTGTCACAGACAAGTCTGGATGCCCGTTGGGCAATCTCATTCCTGAGTGGAACGACCTGGTTCGAAAAGGTGCCTGGTTCGATGCCTTCAAGCGCCTCATGGCCACCAACAACTTCCCAGAGTTTACTGGGCGGGTTTGCCCGGCTCCCTGCGAAGGGGCATGCACGTTGGGTATCATTGATGAGCCCGTGAGCATCAAGTCCGTGGAGCTGAGCATCATTGACAAAGCCTACGAGATGGGCTGGATGGTGCCAAGCCCTCCGAAGGTCCGAACAGAGAAAAGGATTGTCATTGTGGGCTCTGGACCTACTGGCCTGGCTGCGGCCGATCAGCTCAACAAGATGGGACACCGCATTACTGTCCTCGAGCGTGCAGATCGCGTCGGAGGGCTCATGATGTACGGCGTTCCCAACATGAAGACTGACAAGATGGATGTCGTCCAGCGACGCGTGGACATCATGAAGCGCGAGGGCATCACTTTCGTCACCGGCCCTGCTGGGCGTGTTGCCGAGAGCTCAGAGGCCCAGGCCACCATCGACGGCAACAGCATGGGGCCCAGAGCTTCGCAGCTTTTGGAGGAGTACGACGCGGTTCTGCTCGCTGTCGGCGCCACCGTTGCCCGGGACATGCAGTCAGTGCCAGGGCGTGACCTCAGCGGGATCCATTTGGCGATGGACTACCTGACGCACAACACCAAGGCCTTGCTGGATGGCGGTGATGTCAGCAACAAGTGGCGACGTTGGTGGGGAGCGAAGAAAACCGGTCTGGACCCAAAGACGCTGGATGCCAAGGATAAGAAAGTGATTGTCATTGGAGGTGGTGACACCGGCAACGATTGCATCGGGACAGCTGTGCGTCAGGGTGCCAAGGCAGTCGTGAATCTTGAGCTCATGGGAAAGCCACCCAAGCAGCGTGCTCCTCACAATCCCTGGCCACATTGGCCCATGGTCTTCAAGGTGGACTATGGTCACGAAGAGGCTGCCACCCAGTTGAACAATGACCAGGACATCCGACACTATGGTGCTTTGACTAAGGAGTTCTTGGATGACGGCCAGGGCAATGTGAAAGGCATCAAAATGGTGAATGTTCGTTGGGAGAAGATCGACGGCCAGATGCGGATGATGGAGCAGCCTGGCTCTGAGAAAATCATCGAAGCAGATTTGATTCTGCTCGCGCTAGGCTTCTTGGGCCCCGAGAATCCGTTGGCAGCTGCTTTTGGTGTTGACATGGATGAGCGTGGCAACTACAAGGCATTGTACCAGAAGAGCGAAGGTGATTTCCAGACATCAAACCCAAAAGTCTTTGCAGCAGGTGATTGCCGACGCGGGCAGTCTCTTGTTGTCTGGGCAATCAAAGAGGGGCGAGATGCAGCTACAGCAGTGAACAGCTACCTGACGAATGAGTATCCGGCCTGAGCTGGGTGCTGCACTGGCGGAGACGGCTAGATGGAGTTTAGCGACGGTCTCTTCCAGCAATTTCGACACTTTCGATGCTACTCTCTCTTGCAGACGAGCAAAGCTTGTCCAACATGTTACGTTGTTGTTCAAATTTGCAGGCATGGCGATCAATCGAAACGACTTGTCGTGAGGAACACCCATCGTCGATGATTGTGTGCATCTGAGCAAAAAGCATGATGGATTCTGATTACTTGGTCTGGCTGATCGCCGAGAGAATGCCAAGGGAAGTTTTTGTCAACCCCTTGTTAGTGTGTACCAGCATCGTGGATGTGCTGCTTGTGCAGCAGACCTGACTGTACATTTGCACCAAGAGAGTGCTGACCTTGTTCGGCATTTCTCTACATTAGCATTGTAGGTAGTTATCTTGAACAGCTACAGCTCGTGCCGCAGCAGGAAAACGGATGCACCTTGAGGCGAGAGCTCTGCTAGATGATGCCTCTGTTTTTTTTCCGTGTCACAGCCCTTGTGCTCTGCCAGGAGTTCGACTCGCAGTGCTTTACCCAGGCCAGTCGCTGGGTTTTCGGGGTTAGGCTGCAACTTCATAGTATTCGAGCCCTGTGGAGTGTACCCGGCGAGAGCCTGGCTGGAAATGTTTTTTGGGGATTGTCGCTTCAAGGACCCAGGGATTGAGGCCCTGGGGGCATTCGCCATGCACCTGCGGAGTTCGGCTGCCAGTAGTGAACTCAGTCGTGTTTCAAGCAGGAGATTGAATCCCGCATTTGGGCAATTCCTGCCTGGGCCGATTTGCATGCGTCTTGTGAACCAGTCATTAAGCAAGCCCGGTGGTTCGCGTAGATGTTCGCAGATCTTCAATCGCTGCTGCTCCTGTCGCTACATGCCATTTCTTTCGCTTGCTCCTCCTTTTGCTCGTGCTCCGGCTGCTGCTACTGCTGCTGCTGCTGCTGCTGCTGCTGCGGCTGCGACGGCGAGCACCAAAACTAGCTTTCCATGGGGACACTCCTGGGAACACGTTCTCAAAACCCGATCGATTCAGGCTGACCTTTTCAGGCATGCCGCTTGCCAGCAATGGCTTCATCACTTGCGCAGGGTGCGGTGTGATGGCTTTTGGGCGCAACCTTGCCAGGTTCAGGGCACTGAGAAACTAGTGAGTTAACTCGTGAGGAAGGAATGTTGCAGTATGTTGCACTGCAGACCTTCGGAAATGGCTTTCAAGGCTCTTGTTCCAGCCCAAGAACTTGGCTCAACTTTACGGTCACTTTATAGCTTTATCACTTTTAGGAATAGCCTTTTTTGATATTAGGGGTACTAAAAGCTATAATTTTAGCAAGGTAATAAAGAGCAACCCAGAGAAGGCCCTAGATCTGCAGGTCACCGAGCAGGAGTTCCAGAAGATGGGTGGTCAGGTGCATGAGGATTGGAAGGCAACGGCCGGACCCATTGGTTTTTTTTTTCTCCGCTCTTTCTGTAGTCCTAGGCTGTTCTAATGCCTTTGTGGGCTATGCTATAGTTATCTATAGTTATGACACTGTAATATGTTATGGCTCGTTTTATTGATGCAGGTTAGATGTAACCAGTACGGGCTTAGTTCTATGAGGTCGTTGAACGGCGCTGGCAGGTGCGTCCCGTGATGCTCCTGGAAGAGCTGGCGCAAGAACTTGCCGACGAGACTTCAGGACGTGCAATGATTGTCCACAATGGTGTCGTTGTTGCAAATCCATGCTTAGCATGTCTATTACTGTACTATTAGGATGAGAGGAAGTGTGGCATCGCGACAAACTTTGGCACTCCGGCAGTCGGTAGTTTCAGATATGTGCCGTCCCTGTCGTACCCTGAATCCAGATATCAACTTCACGAAATGAATCTGTGACCACAGGAGGTGCTCGGCACTGTTTGTGGTCAGCTTTCAGAAGAGGGCTGCCCCTATTGAAGTTGTCCGATGTGGACTTACATCTGCAACCTGTAACCTCAGAAGTTCTGATAGCCGCGGATGCTCCGCCCGGCTGATGTTGTGGAGGATCGGCGGAGGTCTGGCTGGAGAAATTCTGGGCACAGGTGCAGGTGATCTGCCACCAGGTGTGGCAAGAAGATATGCCATGTGCGCTTGCCGACATGAGAAGCTCCTAGCCGAAGGTCGTGGACACTTTTCGCGAGTCGCTCCGCCTCTTGGCTGAGTCTGTGTCCACTGCCAAGGTGTCAAGCTGTGGGTATTGTCTGAAGTTGCGACTTGTTCAGGAGACGGGGCCCAGCTGGGAATGTTTGAGATTCTCGGGCTGGACTTCGTTTGCAAGGCTTCGACGGAGCCCTTCGCGTACTGTACCCAACTGGCTTCTGTACTGTATCTCGCAACCGGCAAGGCAGACGGCTCCGTAAGTTTCCTGGAAGCGAACAGAGACCCATCGTGGGTCATCGACGGTGGAGCAAAGAAGGTCGCCTGATCGCCGTCAGTTCAATGACCGCATGTCCAAATCAGTTGGCTAGTTGGATGAAGCAGCCACTGAGGCCATCATACCCACTCTGGTGACAGATTTGCCGCTTGATGCAATCTGCGCTCCAAAGATTCTCACACTGCGACGACTTGCGTTGGGGCCGGGGAGCGGTCATGGCGGCAATCTTGCCGAGGCTGCACATCGTGTTGCAAGCACATGGGGAGAGCTGCACCTCCATCGCCGATAGTCTGCAAACCTGCACCGGCCACTTGAAAGCATCGATAGTACCGATGGAAAACAAGCAGAAACAGACACAGAGGGACATATAGTCCTACAAACCCATAGACCCACAGGCGCACGCACACACGCACATGTCTGATTGCAGGGTGCCTCCTAAAAGGATGATTGAGGCAGTAGCCGTTCCTACTCTCTGTCTGCATTGGCTAGTCTCCTTGATGTGCGCGAGGCCGGTACAAGTTTCGCGTCCTCATCGATGAAACATGTAGCAGAGAGGACTTGGAGGCGATCGGCTGTGGCAGAGAAAAGAAACGGCCTGCCCTCAAGCTCTGGTATAGAAGCGGCTTACCGTAGACTCCAGACGAACGGAAGGATGTCCGCCTTTTCCGCATGCGGTCTTGCGTAGAAGCCACTTGTGACATCCCACACGCTGCAGCGCTTGCTGGGTTCTGTGCTGCTCTGAGGAATTCTGCCTTCTACGAGGGTGAGGAGGCAGTCGGAAGTGAATACCGCGACTAGATGTTCGTGATGCTTCGCAGAGCGTGCGCGTCAGAAGAGCACGTGGCTTTGTCAAGTCAGAGAACTGCCACTGTCCTTACTTCTCAACTGGAGCTACAGATGGAGGAGCTATCCCAATCGCACATGAAGCGTCCTGCCGCCAGCAGCAAGAAATGACCACAACCCAGATGTGGGCACAGTCTCTGAGCCAAGGATACCAAGCCCCGGATCCTCAGTGTTCAGTGTTGTAGTCCGACATGTGACGGTGCAGGAGCCATATCAATATCTCACTGTATGGAATAGACTCTGCTCTCACTTCCACTTTTTACTCTCACTCCCCACCCTTCCCCATCAGCAATAATCCTCATCTCAGCCGGCCGTGACTCACACGTCGGCACGGCCTTCCTCGGGTCTTTCATGTCCCATCCTCCCTTTCAAGGTGACTCTGATTCGGATTTGACCTGAGCCTTGAGGCTCTTCGTTTTGCTGGCTGAAGGCCACCCCGTGCAAGGCGGACACAATAATAGTAATACTAGTAGTCGTAGTAATGATAGTAGTCGTCGTAGTGGTAGAAAATTAAAAAACAGTTGTAATAGATTGATGTTTTTAGCGTTGTTCAATATTGTTATCTGACCTTCTCGTTGTGAGTTAACGCTGGCGGCTATGACGCTGAAGCCTGCGAAGGTGCGCCGTATCCGTCGTGAACAAAGCGAGGGTGATATTGAGTGTGGCCTTCACCTTCACTCCTCACACCTCTGTCTGTCCACTCACTGCTCAAGCTTGTGCTCCAAGGCCTTCTAAACTGTTTTTGTGCTCTTGAGGTGTGAGCTAGAATCAACACACCCCTCCAGGAAAGACACATCGAGCTGGATGGAAGGTAGGGAGCTGAGCTTCGTGCATGAACTAAACTAGGTTGGAGCTTGGAAAGGATGCGGAGTCTTGCATAGGCTTGCAAAGTGTGGCCGTGATGACGTCCCCTTGGTAAGACGATGATACTTTGAACCAGCCCAGCTGTTCCAAAGTCAACAAGCCCGGCATCTCATTCGTTTTTCATGTCAGGTTCGGCCCACCACGTGCTGTGCACACCTCTCTTGCCGGCTGCCACATTTGGTTCGAGACCTTTTGGCCTGTGTCTTTGCAGCGCCAGCTTGTTTGCAATGCAGTTCACATGGTAGCGCTTCGCAGCGGGGCCGCGCGCAGAGACCAGCACAGGTCGAACCCAAGGGGAGAGTGCGTGTGCTTGGTGTAAGCGTATATGAGGGATTTCGAGGGCTGTAGGGTCTCTCCCTGAGTTACTGCCTCAGTGAAGCTATGTGTGATAAGTTATAAGTTATATGTGGGCAACTGTAATGGTACGTCGTTCAAGATCAAGCATCGCCGCGGTTCTGTATCTTCCCGGAGCTTCCCTGGCCTGCCCAGCTTGGGAAGATGGTGGCCACAGCGCGACCGAGCTCCAGATCGCGGGACCGGAAAAGCCAAGTCAGGACTGAGGGCGACACGCGAGGTGCTCAGTATGAGTCCCAAGACGGGGGTGGGACCAGCCGATGTCTTGTTGTGCTGCAAAACCCAACCCAGAGCTCACCCTGCTGAGCCCTTGAAATGCTGAGGGTGGAGGAGAATGATGCCCTGAGGATGCGAATTCTCCGCGAGAGAGGCCGTCCTGTTAATCTTCACACACACTGCTCTTCTGGTGCTGCTTCTTGCAATGTTTGTTTGGCAGGACGCTCAACCGGCTCAACCTGGCACATTGTCTGCAAGCTACCGAACGGGAGGGTGCTGCTACGATCTGCTGCATGAGACAGTTCAGCAGTTCCACTGAGGCAACACAACGCCAGCGTGGACGATGACGATTTCGAAGCTGTGTTGCGCAAGGCACAGCTGCACGGGAAGCTTTGGACGACAGAAGAAGTAGCAAGTAGACATAATAGCAGTACTACTAGTACTAGCAGCACTAGCACTGGTAGTAGTAGTAGTAGTA